AAATGGATGTCATAGAGAAAATTCTTAGCTATTTGATAGCTATTTTATTTGTATGCGCAGCACTGGGATACAAAGTACCTACTGGCTACTAGCCGTCTAGCCACTAAAGTTTATAAATGTATAATGATATTATGTAGGTTTACCTATGCCATTTAAAGATTTTTATTAAATAATATGACACTTGCAATTTGCATGTTAACATGCAGTGGTGCAAATATGAAAAATGTTCATGGGGTAAGGGGCTCAACTGCTGAAGCCAGGGTCAGAAATACAAGGAGGGTTCTGGGGGTCAGATCCCCCACCAGCCTTTTTTTTAAAAGTTCTATTAAATAGTGTTCTTACTTTTTAGTGTTAGCTCGTTACAAAGAAACATAAAAAAAAATTAAATTAATTGTGTACTATAAATTGTTTAATTCAGGGGCGCCATTTCTATTTTTTGAAAGGTCTAGTGGTCATAATACGTTTCAAGGCCAAAAAATGTTCAGCCAACCAATATATTATATTATATTGTTATACTAAAAATCCCTCATACGCATAAGGAAAATAAGTTTTTTATTCCACATTTTCATCATCCTCTCTGACATGAAATAATTCTCAAAGTTTCTACTGGACAATAAACTGAAACACTCTGTATAATTTATAATGTATATGCATTATATATAATATATATACTTAAATAATACATATATATTATACCTTTTATATTAGGTATTATCGATAAAATTACATTTGTTCATGAACCTATACATAAAATCGATAATTCGATATTATTATTAAGTACCTACTAATTACTAATTAGCACAATACAAATACGAAACCATTATATTTTTATAAAATCAATGATAGCTAATTACGTAGGTTATGTAGTATTATGTGGTCTATCTAATTTTCTTGTTTCTCATGTTTATAAAGTTTATATTCGTATATTCGTGTATAATATATATAAATGTATAATACCTATTTTATATTTGTATATTAATACCTAGTGCCTACCTATGGATATTTAAATTATATAATCCCGGTGTTTATTTACCTTGACTTAATTATAAACAACAGCGTGTTGTTACTTGTTAGTGTTTGTGTAATTATTGTGCTTTTACTTTATTTTAATGCGATTAGGCGTATTGAAATATAATTCTATATATTTGTATGTTCTATTATTACCTATATAGACTAAGGTTCAAGACGTTCAGTATTATCTGTTCAATCTGTGGTATAGACTACCTATAGTTATAACTTATAAGTGACGTATTACGATTTAAAATAATAATTTAATATATATATATAGGTAGGTATTACAAATATTACAATATTATTATTGACTGTTGTATATTCACTTATGTACACAATCGTTTCTTTTTTAACTTTATAATTATTTATCTTGTTTATTAAAATTTACAAAACAACGATAACCATTAGTCACAACTCATAACTCATAAGCAATAATATTATTGTGTGTTATCAAGCACCTGTGGACCTGCGGAAGCAAATCTACAGAGTTCGTTAAAGAGTGACGGCGGGGCTAACAAATTTGTAGAAAATAAACATTCAAACTTCAAAGGTACCTACTAAACATACTTATAGTTGGATAATTAATCTTAATAAAATATTATATTATTTGTGAGTAGGTACTGAAAAGACAATAGAGCACTTAGTAAGTCCAACAAGTATCTTGGGTCTGAACCAATCTGAAGTATGCACCTACTATTTGTAAAATGAGCTGCAGCAATATTCAATATTTCAATGTCCTTAATGTTGAAAACCTCTTTGCAATCTGAAACTGGAAGTTTATTGCTAACCTAATTTCCGATACTCATAAATATCTACGGGTACATGCGGTAGATTATTGGCGTTATTTTTCAATTGGAGGGGGGCTTGAATATTAATAATTAGGCTCATTAGTTACAAGATTTGGTTTGAAAAATAAATTAAGAGCTTACTTATAAAAGATAGATTAACCATAGTTCTTACTGATATGAAACATAAAATATTTAAATATACACATAAATATATTTTCCATAAATATAATGGGCAATTTTATTTTTGTTTTTTCCAGTCATCCATAGGAGTAATATATTACTATTCAGAATATATTCTTAGTAAAAAAGATTTTATTTAATTACCAATTGTCTTATAATAATAACCGTTAGAAATTTAGAAAAATGTATTATACTTTTTTTTTTTTACTGCTTACATGTCAAACAGAACGAAATTATGTAACAAAAAGTAAGTTCTAACTCAGAGCTTGGAATGAACTCGTTCAAAGGAATCCCTTCCTTTGATTTCGTTCCATTTTTAGGAACATATCGGGAACGTAGTTCCTTTTTCATTTTTAGGAACGTACTGAAATTTCGTTCACTTTTTAGAGGAACATGAACGATTTTTTTCGTTCCTTTCTTCGTTCATTTATTTTTAAATAAAAGTAATTAAATCATTTTTAAAACTAAAAGGAAAAAAATGTATAGCTTCTATTAAGATTTAGTAACTAATATGAAGAGCTATAAAAATAAACCGGTATATGATATTATTGATAATGTTTACAAAATATAAATTCTGTATTTCTATAGCAGAGGTTTATTTATACAGCTTATTAATTAGGTATATAAGTTAAAACTATTACTAAATGTCTAAATAACAATGTGTTATGTTTAAAATTTTAAAATTAAAACAATTATAGTATAAACATGTACGATGTACCTATGTTTTTTTATTTTATTTTAAGTCACATTAAAAAGGAACGAGGAAGGAACTAATTCCTATCTTCAAGGCAGGAATGGTAAAGGATTTAGTTCCTTTTTTAAAGGAACTTTCTAAGCACTATAACTCCATCTCATCCTGATGCAATGACTAAAATCCTTTTTCTAGGTAGGGGGGGGGGCTAGATAAATAAATCGACATATAAAGGCGCGGTGGTAAACCACACGACCCACCATAAGTTAATTTTTTGTTTGTTTAAATAAATTTTTTTTTGAGCTTATGTGCTAAGCGTATACCCTAGAAAAAAATTACCAATACATCACTGTGTATAATGGATTGTATTAAACTTGAACTCAATGATATAATATTATAATATCATTGTATAAGAAAAACGATTCTGAGCGAAAACGGTTTGTCAGTCTGGATATTTTATATTGTTATTATTTATTATAGCCTGTATTCTGTAAGTTGAATTAATAATGAAATACTTTTATTTTTTTCTATGGTGATAGACAAAGTGTTAGAAATTAAAATCCCATTTTTAGTGTTTTTACTTTTTTCGTAATTTTTTGGTGTTTTTTCAGTGGCATTAAATAACTATTGAATTCAAAAATTAATTTGGTATTTTTCAACCATTTTCGGTACCCAACTGATAAAAATAATCACAATATTTATTGAAAATGTTGATATAACTATAGCTTCGAAAATTTTTTAAAAAATCAGTAAAATCGTATGATAAAATTAGTTTTTTAATCATGTAAAAACTGCACAACATTTAACATGTACGAGGCACGAGTCAATGGGGAGGTCCGGACCCCATGGACCCCCCCCGTAAATATGCCACTGGTTAGCAGGCTACATAGTTATTCCGTTAAGACGTATATGAAAAATAATAATACGGCAGTGGGATTCAGTTAGCCAGCCCCCTCACCCCTCAGCGGTTGATTCACATTATGGTAGTTTTTATAATGCTTCAATTGTTGCGAACAACCGAGATTTAGATTCACATGTGAACTTGAGCGATATATTTTTGATTGCTATAAGTAATTTATATTACACTTCTATAATAATAATATTATCACTCACCATATAGTCATTATTCAGATTCAGGTAACATTTAACTGCTGTTTTTGGTACCTATAAATAATGTTATGGATATTCTACGCATGAGCTTATATTTATTTACTTAATTTAGCCATTAGGTACCTATTTAATATCAATATTTTGTTTATTTAAATTGTATTAAATTATTTTTAATTTATTTTTACTACCCATATAATATTTATTATAATCATACATAATATGATATTATATTATATCTACCGATTGCCATATTACAGAATATAAGTATCGAACAATTTGAACACAAGGTTTGACTTATATAAGGTTTCTATATCATCGTACTTTGTATTTAGTTTTGACCTCTGTTCTAAAGCCATAAGTATTGATATTTAGTAAGGTATAACAATCGATGATAGATATCTCCGTAATACCTACGTCTACGTGCCAGTACGTCCGTCCTACGTACAATTGTAATCGATTCGAAAGATTACTTTATATTATTATAATATCTATTTTTTAAACAAGGGTTATCCTCCAATCCTAAAGGCTAAAGTAGACAAAATAATATGGGATTAACTATATTTTTAGTGAACAAAGATAGCGCATTCAGTATAATTGGCTTTTGTACTTATGTATTTTGGAATTTATTTAAATCGTGTAGTTAGGTAACGCGTTTGTTGAATTATAAAGTTGAAAAAAACAATAGACGTTATAATATTTCAAAATTATGAATATTAAATTATAGATTATACTGTACCTACTCTGTAGATTACAATAATATTATTCTACATAGGTATTTTATACCGACTAATTGGACTATATACCTATGACGGTCTTGTAGAGGAGGTTGTACAGATTAGGTACATCAATCACCCAATTGGCAATAACGTTTGTTATAATAAATATAAATAATTAGACCGTCTACAAGCTGTTGCCGGCGGGTTATCGCAATAGACGCAATAAAACATTATTATACATTTATATCCCGATAATACAGTATTATACATTAATATACAACGCCGAACGCTGTCGATTAATCGATTTCGTGGTAAATATAATAATATCGATTTATTCAGTCGAAAAATAATGGAAGAACGGGACGGGACGTCGTCCTCCAGATCGCTAGTAATTAGTATTCCGTGATTGTATTCGGTAGACGGTAGTGTTGATAAAACCTTGGTCACGTGATGACTGATGGGTGATAGTGCGCGCCAATAACTGGAATTTTATATTATTCTCCAATGTCCCGTCGGTCGTCCCGAGTAGGTATGTTGTATGTTGTATATATATTATAGTTGATAATTGATATTATTATACTGTTACGTAAGATATGTAAGACCGGTTGTGCCTGTTTGAGCTGTCTCCATTATGTTTTTTGAATGCTTTTTCGTGTTGTGTGTTGGACTCTCGTGAGTGGGCAGTGGGCACACCACGTTTGTTCGTTTGTTGTATTATCGGTCCAAGTATTAAAGGTTTGTTGTTATTTCTTATTATACAGATTTCCACAACAATTACAAACCTATGGATCATTCAATACCAATAAAACCGTCAAAAATACATATCTTCTGGGAGGCTTATTTGAAATGCAACAGCATCGTGGGAAATGAACTTAAAAACGATTTTGTAAGTACCTACCTACCCAAAATTGTATTACCTTTAATATTTAATGTTTTCTTGAAGACTATTGTATTTTTCGAATAGAGAAACATTATTATTAATTAATAAATAAAAGTGAATTGTACTATATAAAATATATTTTTTTAATACAGAAAATTGCATGGTTTGATTTACTGCTATCCGAAATACTGTCTGTACATGAAAAAATAAAAAAAGTTCCTGAAGATATTCAAAAAGCACAGTAAGTCTTGGTAAAAACATTTTAGGGCTTAAAAGAAGATATATGTTCTGTTTCGACCTAATTAAAAATAATTAATCAACGAGCATAGAAGTTAATAAAAGTTTAGTTCTTTGGAATAGTGATAGTAAAGCATATTATATTATTTTTACTTTTATATTTTCGTAACATCTATTTATTTTTTTGGGCATGGGTGAAAGGGATATGTAGTCTTGTTAATAATATAATTATTAAGTTGGTGATGAGTTGCAATATTTTGTAAAATTATGTTCTTACAATTTTAGATTACAATGTTTTAATTCAACAAGTAGGTACCTATACAAATCTTATAGACTTCTGCATCTTTTTTTTTAATTAGCACAATTTGAATGCAATTATACATATAATATTTTCTAAATCCATAGAAAATGTATCATTTATTTTTATTAAATTCAATATTATCTCATGGTACAAAATAGACTTGTATAATAGGTGTTATTATGTAATTACTAATTACTATTAGTTTCTGTTGCATTATTATAAAATTGTATGGTACATACATTCTATGCATAAAAAATAAAATGTTACTATTTGAAACCTTGGTAAAATTGTTTTTTTTTTTTTTAAATATGATTACTAAAAATTGTGATAATATACTATTATGTCATATATTATAAAATTTTTAATATACATTAGAACATAATATTATGTAATGTTCTCTAAATAGATATTCCTATTTTCATTTTGAAGATCATTTAGTATTCATATTTAATATTTTGTCTTGAATTACCCATACATTTTACATAAATACAAAGAAAAATAGAAAATAGTAGAGTAACATTTATCATTGATGATATAAAGGGGCATCTATCAATTCTACCGATATAGTATTGACTCCATGTACTATTTATTCCTCCAGCCATGTTAATAATATTGATTCTGCCAGATCTGGTTCACTGTTTATATTAATAAGTACCTACATTTTTTAAAATATACGGAAAACAAAAAAATGATAGCAATACAAAATTCAATTCAAACCAATTTAGTTAAACAAATTTCTAGTCATAGGCTTGTAGTCTATTATAAATTTAGTTAAAAGTTAAATAAGTAAGTGATAACTAATAAGAATTTATAGATATCATTCTTATCATAAGATTAATCCAATTAACCAGGGAAATTTACATGAATTAAAATTAAGTGCTTGCAGTAAATGGTACTTAACAAAATTGTGGCTTTTGGGTTTTTTATTATTTTCTCACTCGAATTGGGAACTTGAATTACAATTTTTGTCACATAAAACTATAAAATAAAGATTAAAAAAAACTTGTTTTTAGGCATTTACGTAAAGAAAGATAGAAATATCAAATACGTAGGCACAACAATTTACTGTGATCAATAGAGGCTATTATAGCCACACTTGTAGGTACTATAGTGAACATTTTTGCAATCAACGAAATACATTCCAAGCTAGGACTTGAACAATAAAATACAACACCCAATACAAATATTTAAATCACGGTATATTATATTATAATATACCTTGATTTAAACAAATTAAAAATTAAATGCATATCCGAATTATTAGATAAACTAAAATATTTTGTTTATTTACGTTTTTTAAATTAAAATGTATTTATTTTTATTTTTTGTGTCAATGAAATTTATAATTTATATTCATTTATTCCTATAGACAACATAATCACTAAAAATATTTGTACGTATAATAGTTCTTACTCTGTAAGTTACTTAGTACTTCAAATGAGTTTCTATTATAGATTCTGAGCAAAACAATATTTATTTGTATTTTTTTTATCAGTATCTTGTTCGATGGGAAAGTGAATAAAGTTGGTGCATTAAAGAGGTCAAAATACCATAATACCATTAGTGTTCAAAAGCGCCGAGAAAAAAAACTGGGAATTTTTATGAAAGATTTTGGTTTTTTTGGTGTAACTAAAACAAATGACCGAACATTTATTACAACTTACAAGGCTCCTGATATAGCCATATAGGTATTGCTTAAATATCAGTTGAGAAATATTAAAATTACATATGCACAATTTTTTTTTATAAGCATTTAAAGTTCAATTTTTGGCAGCATTTATTTATTGTAGTAACAAATTTATAAAATGTTCAACATTTATAGCTAAGTATTGAAAACTTACAACAAGGTTTTCCATGTAAGTAAGTTATTTTGTAACCTAAAAGTCTTAACATGTTCACTGCGTATCATATTTTTGTATACTTGTCGTGACGCTGATAAAATTCTAGTTTTAAAAAAAAATTTCCTAAAAATTGAAAAATTTAAGTATCAGTGTACAGTTTGCACTTGATTATGAAACAATGCTTATAGATGACGCTGACAAAAAACCAAAAGTTTAATCGTAACGCTCACCAAATTATAGTCCATTAAATAACAAGATACATGACGCCAATTGGCGTCATTCAGCACATGCGAACTATGTACAATGACGCCAATTGGCGTCTTACGCAGCAAACGTGTTAAAAATATAAAAACAGTTTTTTTTTATAGTTATAATATTATGTTCAAATTTGGAGGAAATTACATAACCAAGAATAATGATTGTAGTTAATTTGTTATTTTGTTATAATTTTATAATATTAATTCAACTTACCGACTACCATATTAATAATAAATAATAACAATATAAAAAGGTGACAAGTGGGTACCGTTCTGCTGTACCGTAGTTGTCGAGTATATTATTGTAATGGATGTGTTATGTTTGATTTCAATAACAAATCATTGGATATGAAAAACGATTCTGAGCGGAGACAGTGCGTTGGCCTAGGCCTAGCTCAGTGGAACCAAACACGTATGGCTATTGGGGTAAATACCCCATAACTTTTGTAGGTGGTAGGTGGGTGACTGTTTAGTTATCTTATCTTAGCTATGAAAAGTAAAACTTTTATGGATTTCTTACTGAATAATAGATAACAAAATTAAAAAAAATGATCATGGCTTTAAATAGCTCAAAAAGCGTTGAAATAGTTTGTAAATTTCGGTTATTTCGGAAAGTCTACGGTTATTCGTTTTGAAAATATAACAAAATTTAAAAAAATCTATCAATAATTTACCATTGAATATCAAATGTAGTAAACATTTTCAAAAGCTCATAAAAAATAAAGTTCCTTTTAAGTACACTTTTTTTGTTTGTTATAGGTAGGAAAACTTATGCAAAATATTCTATTAACATTTTTAATCTTAGGTATGAAAAGAAAAACTTTTATGAATTTCTAAATTCTAAATAAATATTAATTTATAACATTTAAAAAACTTCTCATAGCTGAAAAAGTTTCAAAATTGTTTGACAATATTATTATGTATGGATAATGGTTGTAACATTTAGTAAAAATTTCAAGTATCTAGGTTCATCTGTTTCTAAGTTACAACAAATTATTAAAAATTGATTGATGAAAATTCTTTGATGTTCCTATGAAAATCTAATATTGTGAACATTTAAATTCAAACACTCATAAAAAATTAACGTTGCTTTTTGGTAAACTTTTTTTTTTTTATTAAGGTGGGTAAACTTGGGAGGAGTCTTCTTGCAACATTTATAATGTTGTTAGCTTTGAAAAGTATGCCTTTTATGAATTCCTAACTGAAAAATGTTTGATATTTTGTTAAATGTTGTCAAAATTTAAACTTTAATTGCATATAAAAAAAAAACATGCCTGTATTTCTGATTTTTTTGAACTCACATTTATGAAACTCATAAGGAATCTTGTACTAAATTTTCAAGGTTTTTAGTGAAAAAGTTTTTATCGAGGTTTTTATCAAGAATAATTTTTTAAAAAAATTACAAGTTTCAAAAATTTCTCAAGGATATAACTAGCCCAAAAGAGTCAAAATATTATGAAACTATTACCATTTATTTGAAATGCTAATATAAATATTTGGAAAAAATGTCAATGGTCAATAATTTTTGAGTTACACCAAAAAAATAAAATTGATATCCTCAAAAAATGGTTTTTGTTAAAATTATCACTTTCACTTTTGTTGTGTTTTTCTTGATGCTTTCTAATACTAGGTACTTGGAATTTTCAATTTTGACTTTCCAAAAGTACCAACTATGTTCCCTTTTCTATCACAGAAGATGCTGATCTCAAAAGTCAAATCATGCCTACTATCCATAATGTTGCTGATAGACAAAAAAAAAAACACATTGTAAAACCAATACCTTTTTTCGCTCCCCTCTGAATCTAATATAATATAAAATATCAACACTGACAAACAGTCACCCCTCAGAATCGTTTTTTAAATTTAATACCATCCATTATACAGTGATCCACTTGTAACCTACTGTACGGCAGAGCGACACCCGCCTTTTTAATATTAAATGTGTTATTTATTATCACAAGTATTAGGAAACTTTCCTCACCAATCATGAAAATAATTATTTTATATGTATTACTTATTGTATACATATTGTATAATTCACTTTCTTAATAATAATAATAATAAAAAAAAATATTGATATTAATTAGTGAATAATTAATTAAAAACAATTTTTTCTTAATTATCTTTTATTGAATAGCAATATTATATTTGTCATAATTTAGACTTTTATATAAAGTTCAAGATTGTCCGGAGTTAACCTCAAAATATTGTGTCACCAGACACCCATATAAATTCGTAGAAAAATGATGTTATTCTTTAAGTGGTTATCTCCGGATTATATTTCACTTTTTGAAAAACTATATACTATATAGGTATTAATATTGAACAATAAATTTTTTTGTTAAACTTTTTTTAACACCTTTTATTATTTTAATTAGAGAAACTTACAAACTCTTATTAATATAAAATAAAATAAAAATAGATTTATTAATCCCAATCTTTAAAAAAAACATTTTGAATTAAAACATTTAAGAAATGCTAATTAATATTATATAAAAAAAGATCTAAATACAATTTGTAATTATTATTAAGCACTAAATCAATTTTCCTATGGTTTCCTCAATAGTGAGATTTCTTTGAACAAAAATAAATAATATTTGTCAGTCGTGGAAGTAGCTCCCCCCACTCCCATAATGAACACAGAATATGGTTTTGTGTATAATTTTTTAAACATTGACTTCATATAGCCATTTACCAGAGTGAAATTAACTCAGATTTTAGATTTTAAACTAAAAAAAATATGTTAAATGTCTATTAAATAAGTGTTAAGTATTTAAATGTTATTAAATGAAAAAAGTATTTAGTGTAGTTTTTAGTGATGGATTATTTTTATATCAGTATTACATGTTTAAAATGAATTACTACAAAAAATGTTTGTGGATATAACTAATTAAAAATTAGTGTATGCATTGAAATAATAAACGTTGTATTATGGTAGAATAATTAATAATTTTGTGTAATGATATCAGAAAAGATAAAATTGTCTAAGGTCATTCACATTGTATGCCCTTTTAAGAATAAATAGAAAGTTAGTTCACAATGTGTTTATAAATTAAATCTGCTTATTCCTATATATGAAAAAATAAATAAATATTAAGCATTTATCTGTCTTTTGTTACAAACCATTGGCTTTTTCAAATGTGTTTTTTTTATAAAATTAACAATATAAATATTCTACTTCAACCTTCTAAATGTAAAATATTTTTATATTATCTTTGTACACAAATTATTTAAATATACAAAACAAATTAAAAAATGTATCTAATTTAATTAAATCATCAACATATTTGCTTTTGTGTTTGAACATTTCTATAAAATACTATTTTAGATAGGTATTTTAATTTTAATTTTTTTGCTTTATTATGTATTATATTATTATGTATTACACAATCTGTCATTATTTATCTTATAATAAGTGCAGATTGTATTTAGTAGTTAGGAGTCTTGAGTGAAGTAATCATCCATTGAATTTCATTGCTTTGAGAGGTTAATTTTAGTTGCTTATAAGGTCACGACACCATTTGTGTTTTATTTTAGTTATTATCGTTTGATAAGTACTGATCACTGAAAATGATACACCAAGTTTAGTACTTTTAATTTTGTATAAGATTTATCTTTGTTATGTATTGTACCTCTTATTTTTAATTACATAAACATCCTATAATTATTAAAGAGAACATTTTTAATCATTAATAATTAATATTTCAATTAAATAATATTTCATTTTAAAGTATAAACTGATATAGTCAAATAGTATTATTGAATCAGCATTATTTAAATTGTAGGTATGCTAAACTAATCAATAATTTTGTTACATTTTGTAATTTTTATCAAGTTTTTGCAAATAATAATCAAAAGTCCAAAGATGGCCAAATCATACTATTTACCTACGTTATTACACTTTTAAATGTACCACAAAATATGTATAATATAAATAATTTATACTAAATTTGCATCTTTAAATTAATTTATACTATTCTCTTTCATAAATACCGACTTTAGTTATTTTATTACCTATGTTATAAACTTTAGTTAGTAACAGTAGCTGGTAGATACCTTGTGTTTCGGAATGATGTAGCATAGCATATGTTATGTTTATTTTATTTACATGTAAATATATTTGATTCCCTTAGTCAACATTTCTTGGTAGGAGGTGATTTTAAAATCTGAAGATTTTGAAAATAAATACTTATATTTTAACCTAACAGACGGTTTTATTTGGAAAACAACCAAAAATGTAATTATAATCAAAAGAACAAATTCCACCATTAACTGATATAGATTGTTCTTAGGCCATCACCGATATTGAAAAAGCCAATCTATTCGGTAAAAACTTATCGAAAATATTCATGCCACATACTGACATACTACCAAACACTGAACACTTAGAAACTATCAGACAATTCATCAATAGCTTTCTTTCTATGGCATACCTCATCAAATTAAATATTATTTTTAATTAAAAAAATTAAAAGATGAGAAATCACCAGGTATGATCTAATTAGGTACTAATAAAGTCCTCAAAAATCTTCCTCACAAACCATTATACTAATTACATCTTCAACGGTATGCTAAAACTCGTATTTCCCACTAATATGGAAATTGTCAACTGTAGTACTTATACTGAAACCAAATAAACCCAAGACTAGCCACCTCCTATCAAAGCTGGGCAAGTTAGTCAATTTTTCAACTAGTTGTAGTTAAGTTACTTTAATAAAAAAACTAACTAAGTTGGTTTCTGAAACCGTCTAAATTTCTAACTTATTTAGAAATTAGTTTGGTGATAATTGTATTTTAAGTTAGAGTAGAAGTTAGAAGTAATTTTTTTTTTTATAGATTAAAACTTTTTGTTGAAATGTAAATAATAAGTTATCTAACTTAACATATTAACACTACCACGAAAATTCGGTATTGTGTCTACACTAATTGGTTAAGCCACCCGTATAGATACTATTTATATTATCTAGTAGATATCAACATTCTACAGACTACGCGGAAAAGCTGTGGTTCCTGTGCGTTCATTATTATAAATACTAATAATTAATAATATATATGAGCCAATAATCTAGGCAAATAACCATAATGTCTTGATTGAGGAACAACTTTTGGAATTTTGGAATGAAAAAAAAAATAATAATAATTAGTTAGTTTTTTTTCTAACGAGTTAGATTAGACTATTTTACACATTCTACTCAACGAGTTAAGTTACAAAGTTAATATGATTTAAAACTAACTTAACTTTAACTTTCTAACCTGTTAGTTCCCAGCTTGCCTCCTATAGACCAATAATTCTGACTAGCCAAACTGTTCAAAACAAAAATACTCAAAAGAATCAGACCTATAATGCAAACTCACAACAAGATCCCAAACTGTCCAATGTTAAAATCAAAGCTTTCAATCCGCACCAAACTTATTATGAATAAATCTCTTTTGCAACCCATATGGGCATATGCGATCCAAATTTGGGGCTGTGCTAAACTGTCCCAAATTTGCACTATATAAGCATTCCAGTCAATCACTCTCTTTTTGTTAATCACCTTGTTGTTACTAATAGGTTTTAAACGAAGACAAACGAATTGTACTTACTAAAGCAGTTTTATTAAAATGCATAAACAAATAACAACAAACATACGAACATTACGAACAGAGCCCACAACCGGTACTCTGCGACTGACTATAACCATGACTGAATGGTCAAGCCCTTTTCAAAAAACAGGGTAGCCAACACTCGGCCATCCACCCTTACTTATCGACCTCGATAAGTCATTATATAAAACAAACTCAATTAAATTAATATTTTAAACAAATCTAAACAAATCAGTTCTTTAGATGGACTTAACTAAATTAATATTCTAAACAAAATTAAACAAATCAGTTCTTTAGATGGATTTAACTAAATTAATATTTTAAACAAAATTAAACAAATCAGTTCTTTAGATGGACTTAATTAAACATAATCTTCTAAATACTTTGGTGGTTTTCTTTGACGTTTAAGCTTAACAGTTTCTTCCACCCTTGGTAGATCAGCATTTGATTTGTTAGTCTCTTCATCTTCATCTGCTGATGACCCACTTCCTTTTTCCTCAAGCTGCTCCTCTTGCATTATTGAAACTGCCTTCAACTGAGACACATGAGCCGTTGTAGCATAAATGTGTTTACCATCCCTTGCCATCTCAGCGACTCGATATGTGTTTCCAGGTAGTTTCCCTATAACTTGCAATGGGCCCCGATACTTGGTCTGAAGCTTGGTAGATTGACCTGGGGTAGGTGCACGCAGCATTGCCACCATTTCTCCAACTTCATAGCTTATCGATTTGTTCCTTTTCTGATCATATCTTTCTTTCATTGATACCTGAGTTTTCAAAATGTTATCTCTTGCCTTGGCCTGTAACTCTACTGAATTCAAAGGCTGATGTGTACCAACACCATCTAGTAATCTCAGCACGCTTGAATGAAACTGAGGCCGGTATCCGTGGATTAACTCAAATGGTGTGTATCTGGTAGTCTTACTTTCCGTGTTGTTTATGTCACGTTCAACTTCTTTCAGCTTCTGATCCCATAATTTTTGATCTTGTGCTTGAATTGCAAGCATTGGCAATAAGGTTCTATTGGTCCTCTCCACTTGTCCATTTGCTTGCGGATGTCGAGACGAGTTGAGAGTGTGCCTGATCCCATTATGTTGACAGTAATCCTGGAACGCCTTGGAAGTAAAGCATGTCCCTCTATCTGTTATCAAACGATCCGGCAATCCCCATTGATCAACAAACTTCTGTAAACTTCTAATAGCTGATTGAGTGTGAGTGGATTTTGCTGGAATAATGACATCGTCGATGTAACAACGAACAACACCTTCCCTCTTGAGAGTTCCCAACACCTGGTCCATCAATCGGCAAAACTCAGCTGGAGCATTTCTCAAACCAAAAGGCATACGTTCGAACTTGTATACTGCATCAGGAGTGATAAATGAAGTCTTGTCTTTCGCTCCCTCAGCCAAAGGTATCTGTAAATAACCATTCGATAAATCTAAAGTGCAGAACATCTTACCAGCAGACAATGAACTCAATTGTGAATCTACATCCGGCATTGGATATGACTGTGATATTGTCTGACTATTCAATCTCCTGAAGTCAACACACAACCTCTTCTTTCCATTTGCTTTATTGACCAATATGACTGGTGACGCATAAGGAGACCTGGTCTTACTAATTATACCACTCCTGACCCATTCGTCAGTAATTTCCGCTATCTGTCTTCGCTCTTGTTCGGATGTGCGATACGGCTTCATCGATACAGGCTTACTGTTTTGTTCTTCCATTATCTCCATTGTCACCAAATCCGTGCAACCCAATTCTTGTAAATTTAATGCAAACACTGCACGATACTTATTCAGTAACACTGTTAGTTCTTCTTTTTGCGTGGAGTCAACCTGACTGCCTATTATCACATCATCTGTTGACAGTGACACTTTTGATGTTGACTGTTCTTGCACCAAGCATACTTGAACTCCATGTTCATGCTTATTAATATTGGCACATATTGATTCCACGTCCATATCTGCGTACTCAACGACAAACGTGTCATCTTGTTTGTGGTAAGTAATCTGAGGCAAATTGAGCCAAGACTGTCCAATCAATACTTCTACTGGAATTGCTTTGTCTTCAACTACTAAGAATTGCACCTTGTCCGTCTTAACCCCATCGATAACCAGCTCTCCCATTACTTCTGCTAATGAAGTGATTCTAGGTGTCTTCATATCACCCACAGCATACAATGGTTTGATTGATGACACTATTGGTAATTTGGTCCGTACAGCTGCAGACGATCGGATTAAACATACTGTACTACCTGAATCAATGAGTCCATTGAATTCAACTTGGTTAATTTTCACTTGTTTCCCAAACGGATTCTTCCCTGCACACCCCGCCACCACAACCTGGCACGTTCTGGCAGGATGTTCTTGCTTAACAGAAGGACATTTGCCCCGAGTATGTCCTTCGGCGCTACACAATGAACATTTCATTGGTCGTTTTGGTCTTGGACAATCGCGCGCTATGTGTCCAAAACCAGAACAATTGTAACACTTAATTGTACTGTGTCGTGAGTCAGATGTCGGTGATTCTGTTTTCGTAGTGGTTCGTGTCGTCGATGTGAACTTACTTGGTTCTGCCTGGTTACTTGTTGTTTCTTTTTTTTGACCACATCTTACTATGATCGACTTTAGTAATTACGGAAGTGTTTGGCTGATCTCCACGACGATCAGACTGACGTTGCCACTCCAATATATCTATGAGTAATTGGTCTTCGTCATAGTGCTTCCTTCCAAATGCATACATCGCGAGTTCCCGAGGTAAAATGCCCTGTAGAACATAATCGCGAAGTTCTTCGAACTGTAATCTGACACCTTTGCACAACCGCACCTTATCTTGAAAATATGACATCAGTGATTCATCCTTGTGTTGTACACGACTGCGCATAGCGTCCCACTTGTCGGCCATGCGTAATTCACGTACGAACACTAGTTTAAACTTCTCACGAAACGTGGACCAACTCACAAAATTTTTCGATAAAAACCAATTACGTGCCGCATCAGACATATTCGAACGTACAAAATGTAGACAAAATTTGGATGGCCACCGATTCAAATCAGCTAAACCCTCTATCGTTTCCAACCAATCTTCGGCTACGTGAGAAGGTTCCAATCCAGTAAAACATTTCACTGACTTATTGACGTCTGGGATGACACGAAACTCTATCGATTCATCATTTGTCTTAGTGTTCAATGGTGTCTCGTCATTTTTCACATTTACCAGTGCTAATTCATCTTCTAGCTGTTTGAGTTTAGCTCGTTGCTCGTTCACTAATTGGTACAATTCATTATACTTAGGTGCTGTAATTTCATCAACGTGATCACTCGACATCGTCACAACAAACGATTCGCTCAAGACTGACAAGAAAATCTTTGTGATAACAACGGCTTATCACATGTAAACATAACCAGCTTATCACCTTGGTTTGTATCTATCTCCAAACTAACTTTGACCTTAAAATCGAATCAGTTGACCAATTGGCCACTAACCATTACAGATCTTTTTACTCCAAACTACATTCCCATACTAACCCATTAGTATCGCAAATTTCATCCAATACACAACTCATGAATCCCACGCATTGACTATAGAGAAAATATTGTAGAGATTTAAAATTTTTAATTCTAAAATGTATCACGTTGGGTTCTATCTTTGGTGGACCTCCCTCCTAGTACTATTCACAATTAAAATGTATTATTATTTATCATCTTATTTGCGTATTGTGCTAATCCAACATAGATAGTGAATATTCTTTTATATATAAAAAAAAGCTATAACTATGTTAATAATATTTTAGCTGTTAAACAGCTTCATCAAAAATTCTAAATATTATATTTTACTATAATTTGTCATTTAATTAATTTATACTAATTGTAATTTTTCATTTTTTATACTTGGGGATGGCAAAATAGGATGTAATTTTTTTAAATGCACTCTGCTTATAGTGAACACATCTTAAATTTAACAACATTTTGCTCATATTAAGAAATTATAAACTGAATGTACTGAGGTTATTTTTGTACCAATGTAGTTCATGCAAACTATATACATTTCAATAACATATTTGTATGCAAATAAGTTGTATATTTTAGATAATATAATAATTATACAATGTACAATTAGGCAGTCAAACTTATATCTTGTTACATCTCTCTTTGATACTTAAATAGTAAATTTAAATAATTGTTGTTGTTTAGATACAAAGGCATTGGTTTTAGGACCAAAAAAAATGTATTAATTTATGCATCTAGTAGATATGAATATAGTATAAGATAGGTCACTAGGATTTATTTCTGAGTTATAGAGAATATTTTTGGCTTATGACTTATTGAAATTTCATATTTCTATTATATACATTATATATTACATAATATTGTTTTTAATTAGATTGAATTATGCATATAGTTAAGAATTAAAATGAAATGTTAAAATACTGTTAATATAATATATTTAGTTTAAAATAGTTTTGCTATATTATAATAAATAACAAATAACAATGTATTTAATAAGATGTATAAAAATTTGTATTTTTAGTGTATCCAATGCAATAGTAGATCAATTACTTTTGGATATTGATCATGTATGTTCCGTATCTGGTGAAGAAGATTTATCTAGTTTGAAGAAATATGTTTTAATTGAACGAGGATGGAGGTGTCTAACAGTTTTACATTTGCTTGGCACTCAAGTATAGTTATATATTTTTATTTGTTTATATTATATTAAATAAATTATAAAATACAATACTATTATATATTTATATCAGTTTTATAAAGCCACTTCAGACCAAAATATATTTTTTGCTTGTATTAGATTTTGTATCCCTGCTTAATGTTCAAGATGGGAAATCAGAAATATTGTTTCCTAAAAATGTTTCTTTGGTCAGGACACTGCTTAAGAATTAATTAAAACACTTTTGAAATTAAAAAGTTTCAAAATATTATTAATTAATATTTAAAATAAATAATCACATCATGATCTCTAAACCGTTTTTATTGCTACCATAGAAAATTTCATATTTTTTAAAATTATGTTCATTAATTTGTATACAATTTTTATGTTTTTAACAATAGTAAATTAAGTTTTATTGTCGGTATTAATATGGACCAATTTTAAAATTTTCTAATAAAATATTTTTTAACATAAGATTCATACAAACTTAATTTAAATAATATTATGAAATTCTAAAATTATATGTCGTTCATTTTTAGGAAGTTCAACAACTTAAGGAATTGGCTAATGTCTTAGTATCAATTTTTACAATATTTAATGACGATGCTGATTGTAAAACAAGTTATGATGTTATGATGTTAAAAAGATCAATCCTTATATTTCTCCAACAGATGAAACAATTTAAAACTTGATGATTTAATAAAGTTAACAAATTTCAAGGATGAAATCAAATCGAAAACTCAACTTAATTCTTTGTATGATAGATCAGTCCTAGTTATACCAAGATCTCGCCGAGTAAGCTCTGTGTCAGCAAATAGGTATGTTATTTATTATTTATAATTTAAATATTTTAAAATCTTGTTATATTTTATCATAGGATTAAAACTCATTCTTTGGAAGGGGATAAACCAAAAATGGTTGAGGAATCAAGCGAATCGGAGGCTCAAACTGCATTAGACATGATGAAGTCGCCTAGCACACTACGTATTAGATTTAACCCTATGGACTTTGATTATTTCACAAATATTGTACGTAGTGAAGATGAACACTATGGGTCTGATGAAGAAGAAATTAACTTGTCCAAAAGAAGAAATTTGTATCCTGGTTATTTTTATGACGAACATATTAAATCTATTATCAGTCATACTTCAACTCCGAGCCAAATAAAGTTATTAGTACTAGATTTATTAACACAAATTTTATTGTTTAGTACACAGAACCCTTTAAAATATAATTTAAAAAGTAGTCACCAGTTTGTGCCATTTATTGTTATGAAGTTTTCATTAGATAGTATATGTATATCTCAGTTTGATGTCAGCAATAAAGATGATGATGTAATACAATCAAAAATGTTGTATAATATGGTTTTGGCTGTTAAAAAATTATATCAGTATCAAAATATCAGTGAAACAATTACTCAAGAAGGTATTGTACCTTTATTGTTGCAAATTTTAGAAAACATAATGAACAAATCAAGAATAAACGAATTAAAAGAATATCCTTGTCGTCAAAAAATTCTTTTCGGTGTTGTGTGTGCACTACTAATGTTGTTTTCGTTGATGTTATTTGAGTGTAATTCATATAATAGTCATTTCCATTTTTTAAAACAAATTCGGGTAATGCTTGACTGCCAACGTGGCAAGCTAATTGAAAAATGTATTTCAATAATACTTAGTGTACGAGATCAAGACGCAGAACTTTCCACTAACCATGTTAAAATTGTTATAAATTTACTTGGCTTATTAGTGTTGAACATGAAGAAAATAAGACAACGTATGGTACATTTACAGCATTGCAACAAAATTAGACATAGACATTGCACTAAATCTATGTTGCATCATCATGATAATCTCTTTGGAGAAGTATATGTAAGTAGTATAGTTCCATCTCAAGATACTGGCCAAAATTGTTGTGTTACTTCATTGTCAATGATTCTTATACGTCTTATGATCAACTTGGATAGTCAAGATAAAGAATTATGGTTTTATTTGGCTAAGACAATTGGAGTAATAGGAATATGTTGTTGCGTGCCACTGTCTATAATTTTACCAAAGCTATTAAAAATGGTAGGTGACCATGACTATAAAAAGAGTTACATAATATTACAACTCATGGAGAAAACTTTGTACCGAGATACAGGCATTGCATACAAAGATAATTCTTGTAAGGTATGCTGTGATGACGAAAATACTTCAGAAAGTAGTATGAATTCTTATGAAAAAAATAAGAAAAAGAAAGAACAAAAATGGATTACTTTTGAACTGTTTAGAAAATTATTGACTGGTTCAAGCACTAAACTATCATATACAATTGGATTACATTTGTCGAAAAATGCTTCAGTATTTATAAAGGATATTCAACATGTTATGTTGTTTCGTATATTTTATCCAGTATTTAAAACGAGCGAAAAATCATACAGGGAAAATAAGAGCGATTCTGATCGTTTTTTAATAAATGTTTCGTTAAATATATTCAACATACTATTAGCTTCTCTAGATTTTACATCAGAATTTGATTCAATGAACGGTGTTAAATACTTAAAAGGTTTAATAACTGATCCAATTTTTACGAAATTGTCTTGTAATGTGTTGGAAACAAAAATCATGTCAAAAATGTGGCCCTTGAATCAAATTAAAGCAACTCCAATTTTAATTACAGATAGTCAAGCAGAAGATTTAAATATTATTGTAACTGCAGTGTTTAATTTAGTTGATTTATTTTGTGGCTATGTGATGAAACCACAATCCATAAAAATTAATTTGAAATTTAAATACAGTTTATCAGCTTTGTCAGAATTCTTAAGAGAAGACTTGACTTTCAAAACTGTAGATGAGTACCATGAATATAATAGTGTTATAATCAGATTGGGTGATTTATTTCAATGTTTAGCTAGACTATCATTGACATGTCCTCGAATTAGAAGTTATTTAAAAGTTTCATCTGTTGTATATCATTATGACACTCTTCTTTCGGTTGTGTCTTTACTATTAACCAGGCCAATTAGTGTGGAAGGTCAGTTGATTTTGTTATTTTACTTTACCTATTCAGTTTACTTCATTAGTTTTCAATCTTCTTATTTTTAGGCATGGATGTAGTTACACTTGAAGACAAAAATGTTATCAATTTAAAGCTTATTGAATGTTTACTAGTCTTGAATTTATCAATTTTTGAGGATAAAAGTAAGTAAAGGTATTAGACTGGACTTTGCATCTGAAATAAGGAATTCAGGCATTGGTATCGGGTATTTAAAACCGATATTGATACTCTTTTCAATATTTAGGGTACCAAATACTTAAATTTAAACTCAAGTATTTTGTTTTGTTTGTAAGCCTGTTGGGTATTGTTTTTGAAAATATTTTTTATTTCACGTTTCATTGAGTATAATTTGTATTGTCTAGTGGCATCTAGTGATTCAAGTGAGTCTAGATTGGAAGGACATAACAAAAAAAAAGGTGCATAATGACAATATCTTACCAAAAATAAACAAACCATAAATTAAAAATTATGAATAGATTGTAATGAAACAGCAAGATTGTCTCTCACAATAACCCCGCCTGTTTTCCAATGCTACACACCACACTCGACAGAATTAGACAAATTTTACATTGTCTCATATTTATTTTTATATTGTAGGTATTTAAATGCTAGATTGAATCACCACACCATACACCACCAGCCTGCAACTAGTCTACTCTAAAAATACTAAAAAATAAAAAGATGTTTATAAATATATATTATTTATTATATATTATTACATTCAAATTCATAGAAAAATATTTTATTTGAATATAATTTAACTAAATTATTTGTCCATATTCTTAATGGGTAGACAATGTCTTCCCATTTTTTGCTATGACGTTTTTCTACTGGTATTGTCATTATTTTGGGTACTTCAATGGCATTTGGTTAATTTGGGTGCAAAGTCTCGGTTTCAGATATCTAAATGTTATTGCTTTTAATATATTATTAATTATTTTTACCATCATATTTGTATGTAGTTACATTGGATTCTCATATAAAGGATTTATTGATTGAAGCTTTATCTAAAGGACACATAGGAATTAAACAAGTTTGTAGCTCTTTAATTAAGTGTGCTACAGTATCTTATAATCGACAAACTTCAAATTCTCTAACAACTGATCAATCATTAACTAGGGTATATTTTTAATATATTTTTTTTAACAATTGATTTACTTTTGTATAATATAGTATAATTATGTGTATTCAAAATAGCTATTGGAGATAGAAACACCAGGAAAATCTGAATGGCTACCATTTGATGATGATGATGATTTTATCTCTGGTGACGAAGGTTATGAAGCAGATATTGAGTTTCAAAGTTGGATAAATATTGACTCATCTGACAAGTAAATACAATTTTCAAACTGTATAGATTATTTTGATTTTGTCTAGTAGCACACTCGGGGAGGGTTTTGGGTAGAAGCCAAAAAATTTTTTTTTAATTTGACTATACATTATTATATGATATGTATTATTTTGTCTAAAATACATTACAAGGGTGATATTAATTTTTGTTGGATTTGATTATTATGTTAGGTACATGTTATGGTTGTACATGATACGATAATGATACGATTTGTAATAATCGGTGATTAATTATTTTATTGAATATTATTTTTTGATTTATTTACTGATGGTTAAGTTGGGCAATTGTAGGCTATTGATTTTGATAACAACAATACAAAAATATAATATACAAAATAATTATTACTGTCGACTGTTGATATTGTGATGGTCGAATTAATGGCAATTGTATATTTGTATGTTAGGGGAAATAGGAAAATTTGTATGCCCCCCTCCTTGTCTGCTTGATTATATTTTATATTTTTTTATCTTGGCTAATAGATAAGTACTAATGCAATATACTTAAATATTTACCAATTATAAATGCATTACATTATTATATTTATAGAACTGCAGATGAGACAATTTCTTATAAAAGTATTCACCCAGACACAAAAAAATTGAATATTATGCATCCAGCATTGTGTACTTTGGCTGTAGACCTTATGACTTTTTCCAGGTACATTTAAATTACACTAAAAATATTCCATCTTTTAGTCTAATTAAATGTACAATCTTATTTTCTTAAATCTAGGAATCTTGATAATTTAGATGGAATAATTTATTGTTTACAAAGACTAATTGCTATTTGCAAAGACAATGACGAAAGTTGTATAAAACTTTCGAAAGAAGGACTTATTTCTAAATTGTTAAACTGTATCGAAGAACATGTTAATAATAACGAACGAACTGAGATTTGTGAGTATATATTTTGTATCTATAATTTAGTTTTGCTAATTTTTTATTCAACTAACCTACAAATCTTTTGTTTTGATACAGATGATACAATTTATATTTATATGATGGAACTTATTGCTTTAATGGCTTGTCATTATATAGAAACTTTCGAACTTGAGATGTACTTGAACTTGTTTAAGACACCTAATCCACCTCTCGTAAGATAACTTTCTAATATAATTTATGTGTATTAGTAGTTCATAAAGTCTATTATTTATTTATTTAATCATAGAAGTTATTACTCCTGCCATTAATTTATGTGACTGATCACATACCAATCGCATGGCGACCATATTACAGTATTAAATTTCCTGCAAAATTAATCTCAGATTTACCAATCAGTGACAGGCCTGCAGAAGCATTAGCAATTTTAATTCGAGAAAACCATAAAGAAATTAGTATGAAAATACAAATAACGTTTTAAATAAATACTAATTATTAATGTATTTTATTTTAGGACTACTGACACCATGGTCTGTATTTGCTTTAAGCTTACCTATAAATACTGATCTTGGATGGTCTGTATTATCAACAGGCTTTTCATTATCAATGTGGTTACGTTTAGATCATGTGCATAAATGTATAAGCATAAAGAGAAATAATTCTGCAGAATCTATTGGAAAGAGTAATGATATAACTTAATATTACTTTTAATTATATGGGTATAGTGTATTAAAATATAAAATGTCTTTTAGCTCAAAATTTGCAAAAAGAAACAAACAATTTAGATGATCTAACTCATGTATTTTCCATTGGATTTGATGCTATGCTTATAGAGTTTTGGTTGAACCCTTTAACCGATGGTTTTGTTGTAAGACTCACAAGACCAAATGAAAATAAATTTGAATTACTTTCTGAAGTGAACTTTAACAACTGTTTGGGTTCAATTGCCTGGCATCATGTTGCTATCAATGTGAATGGTATTAAAAAAGGAGACAAATTTATTGAGGTAAAATATTCCAAATTTAAAATGAATTGGTTCAATTATAAGTAAATTGTATTTTCTTTAGATAACTCTTATAATAGATGGACTGTGTGAAAATAAAGCTAGTCTATTGTTTAATGGATTTCTCATTAAAAAACCTCGGCCATCCAATGTTCTCTTAGGCGACACAAGAGATAATGCTTCTCCCTTTTCAATTGGAAATATTTTAATGTTCAGATTGCCTGTTCTAACAAAAGAATGTGCTAGCACTCTTGCAGCTTTTGGACCCGATTTAGAAAATTTGGTAGATTGTTCAAATAATCCATTAAAACCAAATTTTAGTATGTTGTTCAATGATTCAGTTTATAATTTAAATACATCTTTAAATTCTAATTTGGATTGGAATCAAATATTGAAACAAAGTTTTGAAATCATTAAACCCCTGCAGGTAACTCAAATTAACTAAGATGATAGATTTGTTATATTTGGAAATTTAATCTCAAGATTAATATGTACAATTTTTGGTATTTTGTTTAGGACGTCATATTATTGAGTTTCACTCCAAGACAACCACTCACAGTTTCGTTGTACTCTTTGACTCTTCCAAATCCCACTGGTAATATTTTTTTTCTATACAACTTTTATGTAACAAACTGTTAATATAAGAAAAATAAATTCAAAGCATTGAATGGCTTATACCATTTTATTTAGTAAACAGATTATTGATTATAATTTTTTTCTATACTCTGCACGGAATAAGACCGACCTGCGCTTGGCCAACCGGTTTTGTTCCGCCGCATGGGTACATTGTTATTCCCCGCAGAGTATACATGGATATATATAAATAATATTATACTTTATGCTTAGTAGGTACACAAAAAAACATTTTAATAAGTAATAAAATATAAATTATGAATAATTGATAATAAGTGTTTGATAATATTTTTTGTATTATTTAGGTTCTTTATTTCCTCCTACTCAACCATTAATGTTCAAGATGACTACATATGATTTACGTGCATGCCAGAGCCCGCCTCAGGTGATACCTACAGTAATTGTTAGTTCTTTTAAAGTGCTTGAGCCACATGGGCTACTGACTGTAGTCAATAGAATAGGAGGAATGCCTCTTATATTGTTTTTATTTGCAAGGGTAAATAAACTATAATTTATGTATTATTTAGTTAGAATACCACTTGGTTTATGATAATTTATCATTATGTTTTAAACAGGTTATAGAATTTCATTCATCTTCTAACGATCAAGTAAAAGCGTTAAAAATTCTGTTACATTTTGTACAATCTGATTCTAAACTATATTCAGAGTTTATTATACTTGATGGTTATAAACTATTAACAAAAGCTTTGATTTCATCAAAAATTCAACCTAGTTGTCCAATGCTAATGGTATATATATTTAATCCTATTTACAATATTATAATAGAAATGTAGTTAGTGCTAAATAATTATACTTACATTTTATTTGATGTGCAGGTCCTCCTGGAAGCAGGTTGTAATAAAAAGGGATCATTTGTTTATGTAAATGATGAATGGATTGTCAATATGTTTTATGAAGGAGTTTTGTTGAATACTTGTTTTATAAAAGATGTAATTTTGCCATGTTGGAAGATATGGACTGCCAATAATCAACAGATTATTCAGTATCTTTTTAAATTTTGTAAACATCTTTTGTCGTTGAACCATCCACATAGAAAATTTAATTTGAAACAAATTCAATCATCTGAATTATTAGAATCAATTTTATTGCAAATTAAGGTAGTTTTTTTTTACAAAACTAGTTTTATAATATATATTTTAAAATATTTGTACTATAATTTTTTTGTGCATAGTGTCAATTATTGTTAGAAGATTCAAATGAAACTGCATTAATAGGATGTGTGCAAAAAGATTTTGTTGATTTTGTACAAAGTATTTTTGATTTACGAACAAATAAGAGTTATATTACATTGATATTAGACTTCTTAATTGCTGTACATCCAAGTAAAAATTTGTACTTACCTCATTTAAAAGCATCAGTATATTTTGTTCTGTCTCCTCAATCAAGAATTTATGCCTCACCTGATCATCACATTCATGTATCGTCAGGTATTTGTTTAGTTTTTATACTAAAATATAATTATTTACCATTAACTCCAGATTGTACATTTATTGTTTTTAGAATCTGAAGAGTCTAATAGGAAATTTAATTTAAATGATTACTCAGAAACTGACTTTTCTGGTTCTATTGATACTCACAGGTTAAATACAGAATTATTAAAACTCCAGGTAAAATAATTCATCTATTATAATATCCTCTAGTATTCCTCAGTAAATCGTTCATAAAATGTTTAATATTTTTATTGTAGGTACGGCAAGAGTTGTTAAAAAATAATAAAATAAATTCATCAAGAGCTAGTGAAGAAACATCAGAAAGTAGTGACCATTTTGTTCCAGAAGAAACTGGCCAGGATTCTGGTATAGATGGTAGTGTGAATGATGTTGCCATTGCTATAAAAAATAATGAAGGAAATTTGTCTTTGGACTATGGTAATGCTTGTGAAGCAGAAGTGTACTTTGGAGCTCAAGTAAACCTATCATCTATAAATATTAAGTATTTAAATTTCTTATAATATTATTAACACATAATTATGTTTATTTCCAGAAAAAAATTAATGAAAAACAATTTAAATCTTCTGATTCTGAAAGTCACAGTGAGATGATTGAAGGCTTATTTTCTATACTAAGAGATGTTATCATTAATATTTCAAATTGTGTTCCCGGTAATGTTATTGATAAAATGTTTGACGCCGAGAAACTGGTTGTTTTACTCAATAATCCTAGTCCTTCAATTAAAATTATTATTTTAAAAGTAAGTTTAACTTTAGTTTTGTATTATATTCATTTAAAATTTTTAAATCTTGTTCCAGATAATAAGTGTGTTCTTACAACGATGTAGTTTATCGTATGCTAAGAAATTTGTCACTAAATTTAAAGGATTCTATCAAATGGCAAATATATTGGCATTACATCAAACTACTGTGAATTTAGTTGACACTTGCGCTTCAATGTTTACTGGTAGTTATTGGCTTCCTTTGGATCAACAACTGCATTGGGACCAATCTGTTGAAATGGGTTCTTTTAATTTTTTGGCGGTTCCATTATTACTCTCGCTGTTACCAAAATCTACATTTAATTTGACATTGTGTACAAACATAGTTAACTTCTTTCTAAAACTTGTAACCAAAGTAAGGGTTTCAGTATCAGTACAGTTAAATTTAAAACAAAACTATGGTTTCATGTGTGTTTCTAGGTTCCACAGTGTTTGCATACTATTTTAGAGTATGGTTTGGTTGAATGTCTATTGAAAACATTATCAGTAATAGCTAGTATTTACCCTACTTCTCAAAACCATACAGACTTAAATAAGCAAGATATACTTGTTGATGATATAAATTCATTATTAATAACATTGATTACTTCAGCTATTCATACACCTGGTATACAAAATCTTCAAGTGAGTTTCAATATTTCATCTAATTATTATTATCATTAATAAATTAAACTAAATTATTTTTCAGATTTTAAATGATTCTGTTTACCAGTGTCGTTATTTACAAAAAGCAGAAATACAAACATCAAGAGAGGGCGTCAAGTCTAACTTAACCTTAAGGGAAACTCAACGTTTTATTTTAGAATCTGGAATGGACACAATTCAAGACCTCATACAGACTCAACCACCTTTAGTTCCTGCTTTATCCCGGTTGAAAAAGAACCTGAGTTCTGGTATTTACTTATTAAATATTTAACCATTACAAGTTGATTTTGTTAAAGTATTTTTCTTTTTAGTGTTATCTTTGAACAACCCTAAAGAAACAAATAACGTAGCATCCATGTCGAACAGCGAATCAAGTCTATTTAGTATTGTATCTAATAGTAATCGTCAAAGATCTTTATCTAAAGCGGAATTAGTTGAAAGATACAAAAATATAATCATTCGATCTGTTGAGTTTATTTTTGCTTCAAGTAAGTCAAATAATGTTCATAAACATATATAAACAGGTTGTTTGTTTTTATTTTATAATTTATAAAAAATGTTGTATAGATGAGAAAACAAGTGATGAAGTTACTCCTGAAGTAGCTTTTGGATGCCATTTATTCACAATTCTCCTGTACAATCTTACTAGTATTACACAGAACACGAGAGAACAAAGACATCATCCATGGGTGTCTATTTACGGTGCTGCTCGTGATGTTATAAGGTTGGTACAAACATTTAGATTACATTTTAAATTGTATTTTAATTATAGAAACACTATATAATATGTTAATATGTGATATTCAAATAATTTAAAAACTCAGTGGCAACCTTTATTCTGTATACCAATTTTTGGGAGACATGAAGTTACCAGTTATATGTTTTGTATCTAATACTAGATTATCAACGGCTATCAACATTTTTAGATTTTTAACTTATTTTGTAACAGACATTGACAAAATGCATGATTTGTGGAGAACAGAAGTTTCTAACTATTGCATTAAGTCTTTCAATTCTTGTTTTCATACTTAAAAATTAATTTCAATTATTTCACCTAAGTTTCTCTATTTATATATTACAAATAAATCTTATTGTATAAGTATATAAATAATTTAAATTAAGTTCATATAATTTGTAAAATTATTATAAAATATAATCTAAAAAAACAACAATTTTTTTAGATTGCAAGGTGCCAATTTATTAGTATGGCTTTTAAGTCCACTTCAAACAACAAGGATACGTATTTTTGCTGTGAAATCATTATTAAATGAACCTAGATCTAAAGAATTGTTCAAAAACATAATATATATAAATCCTCAGGTATGTTATGTTTTTTGTTATTGTTGTATATTGTGTACACAGCGATTGCTGGTTAACAACAGAACTCTATTGTCAGTACTGATAATAATAATTCAACATCTCTTTTTATCCATTATTGTTTTAATATTAAATAAATAAATTAAAGATTTGAAAATAAAACAACACTAAGTCTTGTCTTTATAAAAAAATCAAATAACTATATAACTATTAAGTAACAATAAATTATCAATAAATAATACATATTTTATGACAAACGTAACATTAGGACAATGAATATAAAACTATTAAGTTACTATAATAAACTATGAATTAATGATACATTTATGACAGCATAACATTAAATATTTTTATAATAATTAGGACATCATCATATTCCTCAAGAGTACTTGATACCTGCTGATACCTGCTGTGTTGTCTCTGTGGTGTACCGAGTACTAATAATTAACACATTACATTAGATTAATTAATTATTCACTTTATTAGACATAGTTGTTTCAATACAACATTACAATACTCAGCAAGAGAGTATATCATAAAAACATAACCTTAAAACTAATTATCATGGAATACTACATACATTACAGTCCTCCCGACTTACATAAGAATTACATTTCATATAAAATTATTGAATATAATATAATATTAATTGTATAATAATAAAAAAAATAATATAAGTAATATTGTACATATTAATTATTAAATAATTTGAACATTATAATTAAATAATAATAATAATAAATTAACATTCAATAGTCTATAAATCTAAACGAACAGGAGGTTTAATAACCCTACGGCTTTTCCTCAATTCCACCCCCTCAACTTTATCCTCTGTTTCCAATTCTACTTCTTTTTCTGCCTCTTTAACACTTTCACTTATAACTATTTGTTCTTTAATATTACCCTTATTATTATCAGCATTTTGTAATTCTTCTAATAAATCTCCATTAATTTCTACTTCTGTTCCATTTTTATTCATACAATCAATTATTTGGTTTAAATGTCGCTTATAAATGTTACCCTTAATAATTTTAATTAAGTATGTAACAGGTGATAATTGTTGTATAATTTTTCCCTGTATCCACTTATTCCCTTCTCCATAATTCCTACACATAACCTCATCTCCAATTTCGTACGATTTTGTTCTACCACCCTTATAATTTTCCTTGGCTCTTTCTAAGCTTTTTGTATAATTATATTTTGCCTTGACTATTAACCTATCCAATGCTATATTCAACTGTCTACCAATGTGTAACTCTGCAGGACTCACCCCAGTTGAACAATGATTTGAACTATTGTATGCTAGAATAAATTTACTTATGTTGTCTTCTATATCTGAATTTTTTGCACACTTTTTAAGAAACATTTTAAAGGTTTTGACTGCATTTTCTGCAGCTCCATTAGTCGAAGGACTATATGGTGGAGTCTTAATATGTGTAACACCATTAATTTTTAAAAACTCTTCCATTTCATAAGAACATAAAGAAGGTCCGTTGTCAGTGACTAATTTTTTTGGAATTCCCCAAATAGAAAAATATTCCCTTAACACTTTGATAGTTGATACTGTAGTAATATTAAGTAAATGTTTAACATATAACCACTTTGAAAAAGCATCAATTATCACTATGAACATTTTACCATCTACAGGTCCCAGAAAATCTAAATGTATACGTTGTGATGGTCCTTCTGGCCAGGGCCAACTATGTAATACACTTTTAGGTGGATTATTACTATTAGCTAAACAAGCAACACAACTTTTTGTGATGTTCTGTATGTCATAATCAATACCAGGCCACCAGATATATGACCTAGCCACAGACTTCATCTTAACCGTGCCCATATGCGTATGATGTAACTCATTTAATAATTCCTTTTGGAATTTACCAGGTACTACTATTCTATGTCCCCATAACAAACACCATACTTCAATGGTTAATTCATTTTTTCGATTAAAATAAGGCTTTAATTCATCCTTTACTTTTTTGATCTTATCTGGCCATTTATTAGATAATACCCTAAAATAAACTTCACGTAACACTTTATCTTCCTTAATTTCTGTACAAATATCTAAATCAGTAATTGATTTTATATTTGTCATTATTAAATTAATAAAAAAATTATCACTCTCAGCATCATTAATGTTATCCGAATCTTTGATAGGTAATCTAGATAAGGCATCAGCATTACCATTATTCACCCCATTAATAAATTCAATTTTATATGAGTACCCTGATAAAAACACTGCATATCTCTGAAGCCTATGTGCAGCCATAACTGGTATCCCTTTATTTTCTCCAAAAATACTCACTAACGGTTTATGATCAGTTCTTAAAATGAATTGTCGCCCAAAAACATATTGGTGGAAATACCTAACAGCAAAAACTATAGCCAAAGCTTCTTTATCGATTTGTGCATACTTCTTTTCACAATCTGTTAATGTACGAGACGCAAAGGCAATAGGTTTTTCCGATCCATCAGGTAATCTATGCGACAAAACCGCACCAATGCCAATTGGGCTAGCGTCGCTTGCAACTATTAACTCCCAACTACTATTATAATGTACAAGTATATTCTCAGATACTATTGATTCTTTGATTTTCTTGAAAGCTAATTTTTGTTCCACCCCCCAATGGAATTTAACATTATTTTTTAGTAATGCATACAAAGCACCTGCTTTAAAAGACATATTTTTAATAAATTTGCCATAATAATTTACTAATCCCAAAAAAGCTTTAACTTCCTGAACGTTTTTAGGGATTGGGGCTTCTGTAATAGCTTTGATTCTCTCTTTAGGTATGTGCAGTCCTTCCTTATCAATATGATAACCAAGAAATGTAACATTATCACTGAAAAACTTACATTTACCTTTTTTAAGAGTTAAGCCAGCATCATTCAACTTTTTCAAAACACTATCAAGTCTATTATTTACTTCTGTGTAATCTTTACCTGATACTACTACATCATCATAAAAACAAACTGTACCTGGTATATTACAAAGTAACTTTTCCATTTCCCTTTGCAGCATACCCGGTGCAGATGAAATTCCATATGGTAATCTTTTGAACATGTATAACCCTTTATGAGTAGAAATTGTGGTTAACTTTTGACTTTCTTCGTCAAGTAACAACTGTTGATATGCTTGGCATAAATCTAATGTACAAAATACAATTGCTCCCTGGAATGCACTTATTAAGTCTACTACTCTAGGTATCGGATATCTATCGACTTCCAGATATTTATTTAAAGTAACCTTATAATCCCCACACAACCTTATAGATTTATCAGGTTTAACCACTGGAACTATAGGAGTAGCCCAATCACTTGATTCCACAGGAACTAACAGCTCTGCTTTAATTAGTCTTTCCAATTCTTTACTCACACTATCCTTAAGAGAAAAAGGTATAACTCTAGGTTTACAAAACACAGGAATAGTGTTTTCTTTTAAATACAATTTAAAAGTTTTATGTTTAAAACATCCTAATTCCTCATTAAAAACAGAAGGATACTTTTGTATAATATCTTGTTGAGATAAGGAATGAAAATTTAATTTTAATGGTAATATCTCTAACTCGATCAACCAATCTCTGCCAATAATCGGTGGTCCTCCATCCATTACAATATACAAACTTAATGACTTCCACTGATTTTTGTACTTAACCTTGACCTTTAAAATTCCTATTGGTATAATTATTGAACCATTATATGCTTTTAAATTAACATCAGTTCTCTCCAAATCCTCCACACAACCCAATTTAAATTTATCAAAATCTTTCACAGACATAACCGATACCGCTGAACCCGTATCTACTTGAAACTCTATGGTTACATTATCTACTAATAGTTTAAGACAAAAAGGTTGCACAAAACTTACATTTCTAGTTTCTAAATTAAACAAACTATTCAAATTCAAATCTACATTATCAAGGTCAACATTATTAACATTTTTTTCTTTATTCTTACAGACATTCTTTAAATGACCGACCTTGTTACAAATTGAACACTTATAACTAATATACTTACATGATGGTTTAGTATGTCCACTCTTCCCACAGCAATAGCATACCCAATTTCTTTTTGTACCTTTCATGTTTGATTCTCCACCAGTTTTGCCACTATTATTCGATGATGATTGCTTGACTTTAGTCAGGAACTTGGTATTTTTCTTCTTTGAAGCTGTATGGTAGTTTACTGCTTCATGATGTTCCATCTTTGAAATGTCATTGTTAGCACTCTCCATAGCCAAACTCAGTTCAATGCATTTTTTGAAAGTTAAAGAGTCTTCGGATAATAGTCTTTTCTTTATATTACTATCTCTGATTCCCCAAATAACTTGGTCTCTCAATGCATCATCCAACACAGTTCCAAATTCACAATGTTCAGACATTTTTTTAAGTCCCGTAATAAACTGAATAATGGTTTCATTTGCAGCCTGTCTGCGTTCTTTAAACTTGTACCTTTCAGTAATTAAATTCGGTTTCGGATTTATGTAATCTGTAAGCAACTTTTTGAGATCATCATATTTCTTTTCAATGGGTTTACTAGGTGTACATAAATCTCTCAGTAATGCATACCCATCGTTACCCAACAATGTTAAGAATAATAATTGTTTTTTATGCAAATTAATTTCATTAAGCATCACATACAATTCAAATCTCTCAATCCAAGAATTAAAATCATCTTCTTTGAGCTTAAATTCTGTCAATTGACCCATTTGTTGCCCTGTGCAAACACGTGGACTGACCTGATTCGAAGCGTTTCCGTCCATTATAAAGTAATTAACACTACACGGAAATACGGAATTACTTACATACGTACTCGAATTATCTTCGTCGCCAATGTGGTGTACCGAGTACTAATAATTAACACATTACATTAGATTAATTAATTATTCACTTTATTAGACATAGTTGTTTCAATACAACATTACAATACTCAGCAAGAGAGTATATCATAAAAACATAACCTTAAAACTAATTATCATGGAATACTACATACATTACAGTCTCCGTCTTACAAGTGCGTAACATAGCAAACTCTACGCTCAGCCGAACATGTGCAGCTCCGTTAATTTAAAAATTATAGTGAATTTTGACCTCTTATAAAATCTAAAGGTAAGTCTTACCTTTAGATTTTATCTAGATTTTTATATTTCAATCTTACCTGGTAAAATTATTATCTAGGCAACCTCATGGGCTTTTTGTTCTATTTTAATTTTAAGTGAGCTATGAGTATTTTAAGATGTACAAACAATTAACAATTTTAAAATAATCATAACTTGCTTTAAAATTAAATTATAATAAAAAGCCTATGAGGTTGTCTAAATATTAATCTTACATTAAGATTTTATGAGAGGTCAATTCATTCTAATTTTTAAACTAATGGAGCTACACGTGTTCTGCTGAGCGTAACATTTTTTATAGATATAAGACGGAGACAACACATGCAGGTATCACTTCCTTTTAAGGGCTATTTGTTGCAAAATAAAATGACTTCAGAATAAACTATAAAGATTAATAAGACAAATATAGGTACTATTCAGCTATTTTTATGCCAATAATAAAAAAAAGCAAATGCATACGTTATCTGCCCACCTCATACTTCAAATACATTTTTAATTTGAATAAAATAATGACATTTAAATTAGTAATTAATTTAAATTATTTTAAACATAATATTTATATTATATATATATGTATTATTATATCATATTAACAGTGTTATTGATGATTTCATATTATACAAATTTGAAATTAATAATAGTTTCAAAAAATGTAAATGTATTTTAATTTACATTTTTAGATTGAACAGAGGTTTTATATTTATTTGTATTCATTGATGAGTGCTGATTTAACAGTACCTCTTACTGAAGAGGAAATGTGCACATGTGAAGCATTGAAGGAACACCTGATTGAATTAGAATTATTAACTGCTGACAGTAATGGAATTGTCTATGAAAATGAATGGATGAACCAGATAGACCAAGTTTTAGGACAAATGAATGTAGAATTAAATGGAATGGATATTAGTCAAAATGATAATATTTTAAAGTATGTATATATTGTATTTTTAAATTATTTCTTGAAAACACTAAGTTTTACGTAACTCTTGTTGTAAAATGTCAGGTCATCAAACAATGTTAAATGATTCAATTTAAATGGATCGACTGCTTTGGTGCTGTTATAAGATATAACTTAATTCAAGATTTACTTTAGACCAACAAAAATGACAAATTTATCATAATTTTAAAATTTGTAATATTTAAAAATGTTGTTATATTTTTACAGAAGTGTTTGTAAATGGGACAACACAATAAAGTTGATTTGTAACTCTGCCATATCAATTACAACAATTGTGTCAGATGAACAAAATTCCCATAGGAAACTTGTACTAGAAAAAACCAAACATAATTATAGAAATACTATACAAGCCACAATACGATGGAAATCTATTATCAATCAAATGTCCCACGAAAAGGCGCCATGGTATTTTCCAGAGTCATATCCAACGTAAACAGTATATCTTGTAAACAATATTCTGACATGATTTTTCTAAAGTTTATGTTCATATAACATATATTTTTAGATCATGGGAACTTAATCCAACAGAAGGACCTAGTAGAGTAAGAATTCGCCTTCAAAGGTGCCATTTAAACATTTTAAAAAGATTCTTTAAACCTGAATATTCCCAAAAAGCTGGTTAGTATTGTATATCCATTTGTTATTGAATTTGAATTATTGTTAAAACTTAAAATTTTTTTAAAGAAAAAAATAATATCAAAGGACCTCTAGACTATTTAATATCAGATGATATGGAAGTTCCTGTTTCTTCTGCTGTCGTTGAGAGTTTATTGTCTCAAGAAAAAATATCTTACATGTGCACCGCAAAATTAGTACACCCATGGCAAAAAATTAAATGCGAAGTTCTAATCAGTGAAAATGCAATTTACATTGTTCCTACTGAAAACATATCAAATGTAACATTTTACAAAATTAATTAAACACACAGACATTTATTTTTTGTTTATATTATTACAGTCTCTACAAAATGATTATTCACATGTCCTTAAATTCGATGAAGTAAAAGAAATACATAACCGCAGATATTCACTTAAAGAAAAAGCTGTAGAAATATTTCTTACTAATGGGAAAACGTTTTTAATTGCTTTTCATTCTCAAAAGGTACCATATTATTTTTATTTTTGATGTATTTCATCATATAAGATAGTCATTTGTTCTCAGGAAAGAGATGAATTTGGAAGTTATTTATTGAATTTTCCATTGCCAAATCGTATTACTAATGAAATACTGAGTGAAACAGTTGATTTATGGAGGACACGTCAAATTACCAACATGGAATATTTATCAATTCTGAATAAAATGGCTGCACGTTCTTATAATGATTTAATGCAATATCCTGTTATGCCATTTGTTTTAGCTAGTTATAATACTACGGAATTAGATTTGAATCAGTTATCCACGTACAGGTAAATTATAAAATACTTAAAATTATGTAGATACTTTTGTAAATATTAAAAGACTAATTATACATTCATCATAAATAATTTAAACCATACAATATATATATTTTTTAATACTAGGGATTTGAGACGACCTATGGCAATTCAGAATAAAAAGAAAGAAGCTCATTATATTCAACATTACAATGTAATATTTTTGATTCTTATCCATGATTTTTGTTTATATGTAATTTATTTCATTTTAGTATTTGAAAGAAGATATCCATCACTTTGGAACTGATCCACATCACTATAGTTCACATTACAGTAATTCTGGTACAATACTGCATTTCTTGATCAGAGTCCCTCCATACACACAAATGTTTATTAAATATCAAGTAATACAGTTAAATGTTCTCAATAAAACTAGTTGATCTTAAAATTTTTTTTTGCTACAGGATAATAACTTTGATGTACCAGATCGATCATTTCATTCAATGGAAATTACCTGGCGTTTGTCGTCTGATGAATCAACTACTGACTTGAAGGAGCTTGTACCAGAGTTTTACTACTTACCTGAAATGTTTATGAACTTTGAGCAATTAAATTTTGGAGTTAAACAATCCGGAGAAATTGTTGATTCTGTTAAATTACCAACATGGGCTCAAAACAATCCAAGATTATTTGTACTTATTCAAAGGTAAATTAAATAAAATAAAATATTTATTTATACAACAATTTGATTTAATATTATTGAGATACTATTTAATGTTTAAAGGCAACTTCTAGAATCTGAAATAGTTAGTGAAAATTTACCACATTGGATAGACTTAATATTTGGTTACAAACAGACTGGTAAAGCGGCAATTGATGCAATCAATGTGTTTCACCCAGCCACTTATTATGGATCACATATAGAAGAGACAGAAGACCCAGTTGCGAGATCTGCTTTTAAAACTATGGTGAGCACTTATGGACAAACTCCAAGACAGTTATTTCGCTTTCCACACCCTATGACAGTTGATGATTACTCTCCCAAAAATGTGACAAAAAACCCTAACTGTCGAAATGTTATTACAGGTAAAATGTTTCTTAGACTCTTTGATCATGTTGATTTTCCATTTGTTTTATTTCATATGACTTTTATAGGCTTAAAAAATTTAAAATGGGGAAATTATGTCGGATCACCAGAGGAAAATGTCCCCATGTATATTTGGAAACGAAAACACAAGACTCTGGTTACTAACTTTGTGCCCTTACTTACCAATGATGTATTTGGACTATCAAACAACTCTGCTTTACTCTTAACATATTCAAAAGTAATTATAATAACCATTGTTAAGTTCATGTTTATTTGAAAAACTGTTTATTTTTTAATTTAATATTTACTTATTATCTTTTAGGAAAAATCATTAACATTACTAAATGAAGGAGTTACTGTAATGGCTGCAGCAATACTTACTTGGAGTGAATTTGACAGTGTGGTTAGAATTAAACAGCGCAAGGAAGCTCCCTCTAAACCAGCTTTCAAATTTTTTTCTACAGACAACATCAGTACTATAGTCACAGCACCACACTGCCCTTATGTTTGGATTGGTTTTGAATCTGGAATCATACATGTATACAAGTAAGAAAATACTTGATTAAACTGTTTGATTTTTGTAGAGTTTGTTATAAAATAGTTTATTAATAGTGGTGGTTCTAGTATACCTACGTACGATCAGGGTGGGTGGCAGCTGCCTGTACCAACATTTTTGGTGACCCTTATTGAAAAATTTAAAAATATGCCCACATAATATTATTAAGTATTTGTGGCAATAAACATAAATATTTTATTATGAAAATATGGGGAGCGAAGGAATTTAATTTTTCATTAAGAACTATTTATAATTGTTCTGTTGCATGTATGAAACTTTAGTCCTATACTCTATTCAAGTTAAGTAACAAAGTTGGCGGCTGACTTGTGCTTAAGAACTTGTATTACATGGCAGGTATCTAGAATATAGATAGTTGACTCGGTGGGGTTACAAAAGTTGTTGCCTGACTACCGCTAACTATGTTTCATAACAGAGTATAGAACCGAGCCTGCTTATTATAAGTGGCAACGTAACTTATCTAAAAATGAAATATTGTTTAACTTAAAAATTGTATCTTAATGTGTAATCTATTTCAGATTTTATTTTGACATAATTGTTGGTAATGTTGAGATATTTAAAGAACCGACTGTTCTTGTTGGCCATCGAGCAAAAATATCATGTATAGCGTTGAGTCCAGCATTTAGTATTGCTGTTAGTTGTGATAACCAAGGAACTGCAATTATTTGGGATCTAAATGATATTGCATATGTTAGATCACTGGAGCCCATGACGTCCCCAGTAATAAAATATTAAAAATGTTGTTTTATAATTTAAATCAACACTATTATTTTGTTTAGATAAATTTAGTTTCCATCAATGAAATTCTTGGTGATATTGTTACAATTGCCTATAACCATAACAGTGGAAAATCAATTATGACACTTCAAACTATAAATGCCTCATATATTGGCAGTATTGAAAGTGATAAAAAAATTACAGCAGTATGCTTTTCCAATGCTCCCGAAGGAATATCGGTTAACATTATCGCAACAGGATTAGAAGATGGGAGTGTTAAGTAATTACATCTGAAATAAGTAAATTTTACGTGTGGTTTAATATGTGTTTATCCCTAATCAGATTATGGAGCACATGGGATTTGTCTTTTGTTAACGAAATACCAATTATTCATTTTGATGGAGCAGTCATAGCGTAAGTTGTGTAAATGAACCTTTTAAGTTTCTATTGTTTAATTTGAATTTTGGTGAACTTGTAGTATTATCTATTCGAGTGATTCTCAACATTTATACATATCAACAGAAGATGGAACAGTAACGATTTGGGAGTCTGCTGGCGCTAAGCGAATTAGTAAAACGCCCAAATTTTTAAATCTTAGCATGCAATAAAACAAGATGGGTTCAGGTATTGTGGTCAGAGATTCTTCAACATAGTATTATAATAAGACTGGTGCACCTACAAATAAGTATAATATAATGAATATTTTACAAGCGAAGAGATTAAGAGATAGTTTAAAGTTTACGTATTGATATTTGATTTTTTAAAAGATTTTCCTATTTGATTTTATTGTAAATACATAATTGAATTATAGATTTATATTTATGTTAAAAATAATTTATTAGTAAATATTTATTTTTTTTTTTACTTTTGAATAATATTTATAAGGTTTTGTAGATTTTTATGTTGGTAGGGGGAGGAACACGTGTGTGTTTTGTTTGGCAGAATTTTTGATTGGGCACCCGTAGGTATCTGCCATGCACGGGTGGGGCATGGTGGCATTTGTTCTCCGGACACCGTGACTTGTCCGAAGAAAAATGCTGCCCGTGACCAAGGTATCGAGCCAGTGTCAGCAGTGTCTCAGCCGATAACTTAGACCGCTCGGCCACTCTGTCCCCCTACATTATTATTTATATTTTAAGAGTATTTTATATATTCCGTTGATTTTTGGTTCAAGTTTCAAAGTGTATAAATCTGAATCGTTTATTTACATACTTATACATGAGAAATCGGGTATAATCATAGAACAGTAGTATAATGATAGAAATTATCTTGTGGCCCTGCAAACAAACCATTCATAAGTGTGTGTATTTTAGTTTCTTTTCAGGATATACGTGTACAAATTTGTGCTACAGTAATATTATAACTGACACGTATAAATGTAGTTAAAATTGTTTTTGTTAATTGTATCTAAACATTAGAATTATTATTGTGAATATTTCTAGTTTTAAATTAGACCCTATTTATTTAAGTTATCTTATTTTAAAATATATACATTTTTAAGGGTGGATTTTATTATTATATAATATATATATTATAGTTATATTCCATATTAAAATTTTTTATTTGTGTTTTATACTTAATTTTAATTAAAATTTATGTTATTACTTATTATATAATATTAACAGAGAAACAATTTAATAATGTTTTAAAGTATTATTATTGAAAAATATATTTAAATTATTTATACTTATTTTTTCTTCAGTTTTTCTTCATTAATATTGGTTGTAGATATATGTTTTGAGTGATTTTTATTACTTATTATGAGTGGAAACAGTTCTGTTTAAAAAAAAAAATAATAATATATTCTTCTATGATACTGTGGACGTTTAACTCCAAGCTTAAAGATTTAGGTGGCTCATTTAAATTCATAAATATTAAAATATAATATATTATACAGTTATCTTCTCAATTGCAAATTTTCCTTCTTATGACAGTAAAACGATAAATGGGCCATCAGTAACCTACATTGATTAAATGTGCACATACGTATAATATATCTTATGGCTTATGGTATGACATATCACGTATGTGATAATGCAATAAGTAATTTCTGTATAATAAAAAAAAAACACTTCATCATAAAAATTATAAATACATTTTATTTTACTATTTATTGACAACTACTAAAATTAAACATTAAATATATTATTATAATATGGAGAAGCACAAACTTAAAAAATATTACGATAGGTACTAAAAATGATTTAGATAAATCTGATTCCACCGTCTATTCTAATAACTTCTCCATTTAGAAATGGATTATCGACAATGCTTACAACAAGATTTGCAAACTCTTCAGGTTGCCCTAATCTTTTGGGGAATGGTGTCATATCTGCAAAATAGTTTTTAACTTTGTCTGGTAAATGATTTATTAAAGGAGTGTCGAATAATCCTGGAGCTATTGAACAATGTCTAATGCCTTGAGATGCCATATCCCTTGCGAGAGGTAATGTCATCGCAGCAATAGCTCCTTTGCTGGCTGCAAAAGCAACTTGGCCCATTTGCCCATCATAAGCAGAATATCCTGACGTATTGATCACAACTCCTCGTTGACCATTTTTGTCAATTTCGTTATTTCCCATCAGAGCGGCACCTAATCGGATAACATTGAAACTACCTACAGTATTTACCATAAGTACATCGGTAAATTCTTCTAAGCTGTGGGCACTGCTTTTGTTGAAATTGAATACTTTACGTGCAATACTTATACCAGCACAATTCACGATTAAGTTTAATTTTCCATGAAGTTGTTTACACGTGTCAATAGCATTCTGAACATCAGTTTCAGATCGTACATCAGTAGGAACAAAATTAGTGTTGGGACCAATTGTTTCAGCAACACTTTTTCCTTCTGATGACTGTAAGTCACACATTATTACTTTGTATCCATCTTTCACAAGCCGTTCAACGGTGGCTTTTCCTAATCCGGAAGCGGCTCCTGTGACTAAACTTACAAGAGCCTTAGACATGTTAAATTTTATACTATTCTGAAAAAAAAAAATTGTTGATTAAAATATTTATATGGACATAATAATAATATTTTATTCAAATGGATTCAAATATAGATAGTATACTATATAAATAAAAACGTGCCTACACCCAGTGTTACAGATTAATTATATACATAATAGATTCAGATTATAGGTACATTATAACAAATAAATAATATAGAATACGAATATATACCTTTATAAAAACAAAGTAAACATACAACTAATTAGTAATAAGCTTAAAATTAACTCTGTTGGTATAGAGCACCACATTGCTTATTTAAAATTTTGAATAGGAGCGTGGAGTAAAAGTTGGCGTTGGTGTTCTTGTTGCATCATTGAGACAACACTCTCGGAAAGGGGGGGTTAGTGAGATAGTTTGTGCAGTAATATGGTATATAAAAAATTTGGGTTTTTAAATTCCGATGAAAGGTGTTAGAACTAAATCCTTAAACTTTTAGAGCTTCTCTAATATGTTGATTAAAATTATATGGAAAGATAACAAACCAGGATTTTTGATACAAGAACCTGATTCGAGTTGATTATAGAATATGCAAATGTTATAGGTGTTTATGACCTATAGAAACTTATTGAGTAGCATTTAAAAATGTTTACACTCATGCCCCATTTTTGACACCAATCAAATAAAATATTCAATTAATTTTGTAAAATATAACAGTCATCAATTGAGGAAACACAATTATATATTTTTGAGTTATTCACAAATAACAGAAATTGACTATTTAAGAGGGCTGAGGAGGTATCATTAGTCATTACTACATATAACTATATTAGGAATAAAAGTTAAGATAAATGACCTCCTTTAGGAGTGCCAAATGTAACTAGCGTTGTGGTAGAAGAGAAACATTGCGCTCCAGTTAATTGAAATCTATTAGTTAGTTAAATAGGACTTAAGGGGATGTTACAGTGACATTTGTTGTCTTTGTCTTACAATTGTGTAACATAGCAAATTTTACACTCCGAAGATCATATTTAGCTACATTAGCTTAAAAATTAAGTGAATTGACCTCATTTAAAGGTAATATTATTATCTAGACAATGACATAGGCTTTTGGTTTAATTTTAATTTTATAGCGAGTTATGAGTATTTGAAGATTTAAGACTAGCTTTTAAATTAAAATGTAATAAAAAGCCTATTCTTGCCTAGATAGTAATCTTACTTTTTATTATATAAGAGGTCAATTCACTCTAATTTTTAAACTAACGGAGCTAAGCGTGATCTTCTGATCATAAAATTTGGTATGTCATGATGGAAATAATAAATATCACTGTAACGTCCCCTTAAACCAGGGGTCGGAAATTAAATTATATGACGGTCCAGATAATTTGCAACAAAAATTGTCAAGGGCCAGAAAAAGAAATGTACCTAGTTAATATACCTAATATGTTTATTTTTGTGATAAAAATACAGTTTAAGCTATATAAAGCAAATTATTCAATATAGGTAATATAATTTTGACCAGTTTTTTTTAAATTTGATACTCTTGGAGAACAACTAATGCGCAGTGTTTTCAAGGTGGAGATCAGTTAAATTTGAAAGATAATTAGGTATTGTTTAAAAACTTCATTTTGGAGAAAGGAGCTTCCCATATGTATACGTGGAGCCAGAATACATCCAAATACAGCATAAAAATAAATCAAATATCTACATCAAGTATGTGGTGGACAGCATTAAAAAAAAATATTCTTGGCAGTCCAGTTGTTTCCCTTCACGACCCCTGCCTTAAGCCATGATAGTAATGGGTCGCCAAAGCCTACCCTCTAAAGTGCAATAAACAGTACTTCATAATTCATAAATTATGATCAACCCGGTCGACATGATTATTCTTATTAAGATCAAAAATGTATAGAGGATCAGACAGTGTAAACGTATAGTGTCACTAAAAAATCGGGTTCTTGGGACTGAAATAAAAGATATGTCAGAATCCGATACAAATTTGAATAGAAACTTATTGACACGTTCAAGAACTTTAGATTCATTAATTTTGTCTGGGCATGTGTGTGAGTGTGTAGCTATTGAAACAACTAACTAATTGATATTAGAAAGTAACGTAAAACACCTATAAAAATCGTTGTTTTAATTTAAAACTGGACAAGTTATACATTTGGGTTTTCGGTAAATTCGACCTAAATCACTAACATCAAACATTAAAATGTTTAAATTGGTACTCACATTTTGTGCGGGAAAAACAACTGTGGCAAACAAAAAACATTTGAGCAGGCGTATGGTACGGGAATATAATAAAACAAATTTTAATTTTCAGTTATTGGCAATCACTATAACCGAGAACTCACTACGAATTACTATTATAAAAATAGTACTATTCCTAATTCGCTATTACATAGAAATATATCGAACGCACGTGACCACCAAGGTTTTTAGATTATAATCTAAAATTCTAAAAACTGCGTGAGTGCGTGACCAGTGACCACCACTGACGGCCACCCAATGCCACAGTTTCTATACCACACTATAGATAAGGAACTCCTATACAATTTACATTGAAACAAGTGAAGCTCAGCTGTGGACGGCCGCCATTTTGTCGGTGGGCAAAACATTTCATTTTTTAATACAAAATGTATTAGGAATAATATTTTTTTTAATGGTCAAATAAAATAGTAAATGTAAAAAGACTTGTATAAAATATTTTTTTTTTTTTTAAACAACATGATTAGAAATAATAAAATAAGATACAAAATAAATCATAATATCATCTTATTTGACATATGAAATACCATTCAATTGCCAACCGACCTTGAAGCTTCAATTCATGGTGATTGGCGGGAGTTCGCTATCTAGTACTATTTAGAAATCTGTGCCCAGTGCATAGAGTAATATTACCACAGAATAGATGAAATTTCATCTACTCTATGGCCCAGTGACATTTCTTATCTACGAATCTATGATCGCCGCCACGGTCTTAGAAGATATCTTCTAAGACCGTGATCGCCGCACTGGGAAACCATGTGGGAAACGATAAAAAAAGAATTAAATTCGATGAATTTTTTGACTGGATTTAGGTTGGTAACGTGTGCCCGTCTTCCGTCGTTATCGGCACACTGCGCGTGTTCTCGACGAATCCGCGGTCGCAGACGCTCGGAAAATATTTTCTGTATTCACGGAAAACATTATTCGTAAATCGTAATTCGTATTCGCTTTTGAGTTTTGTGGACGGCTGTTCGTGGTTCGTCGTTTACTCGTTCCTTCGTCTTCCCTCTGCGCCTGGCCGTCTATTGTTATTATTTATTATTACTATTACTATTATTATTTTCTTTTATTATTATTACATTTGATTTTCATTTTACAATATTAGTTATTACATCGAATACGAACACCTGCATCGCCATTTCTCAGTTGTCACTTTCTCCGCCGTTTATTGAAACGGTTTCGTGTTTTATACTTTTGCGTTTTTTTTATTCGTTGTGCTCCTTATTGTTAGTTTTTAATCCGTTCGCCGTTTGTTACAACACCGCCGCCACCCAGATATGTCTTTTACGCGGTTTATCCCACATCTAACATAGAAAATATGTGATCCGGTCTCGGGATAACGGTCGTCCCCGTCTGAGTGGACCGGTGTCTCCCCGTTTTCGGCCTTTGTCGTCGAAACGGACACCGGCCCGACCACCGCCGCCGCCGTCGGTTTCCATCTTGGTGCACGCGAGCACGCATTTGCGCCCTCTGAGTGTGCCTGATTAAAAACTTGATTGGACAGCTTTCATCGCCACACGTCCACCTTCCGACGTCACAACTTCCGTCCAGTCGTCTTCTACGGCACGTCTGTTGCGTTCAACGATAGGTACACCGTCGACACTCACCGGCGTTGTCGGCACGGTCTTCTCCACCCAAAGAAGAAAGCTTCAAAACCTATTGAAGCTTTCGAATCGGCATTCATGGAACTATGAACCTGGATTCATTGTCATATACGTTATCGCAAATCAGCTATATCGTTGCTAATTTGTCGAAAAAAAATTACAAGTCGAGCGTTCAAGAATTAGTGGACGTAAGTAGTAGATGTTCAGTCTTATCGTGATTATTGTTACTTATTTATTTTATGTGCATTGCTAGTTGTATTGCATAGTTAATCTACGAGTACCTGTTTTGTTAGTACTACCTATATAAATTATATTTAAATTTTTCCTCGTTCTCGATAGCTATTTGGCTTCAAACATTGTTACTAAACTCCCTAGGTAGTCAGTCGGTCAATGAAATTAAAATGAATAATATAGTCATGTTTTGTCTCCAGTTATTTTACCGATGTACATATATTTTTAAATTATCAACATTTATAACAGTCTATTTCTACGTTTATATGATGGTGTTAAAACGGTTTAAAACTAAACCGTTTTGAAAGTTAAAACCCTCACGCCATGTACTTTAAGAACTTAAAACCGTTTTATTTGCTTAAACTTGTACCTATATGTACATTTGATAAACCAGTTTATGCAAATAAAATGGTTTTAACTTTCAAAACAGTTTAGTTTTAAACCATTTTAATGCCATCATATAAACGTAGTATATGTGGAATATAACCTTATTAGTGTAATTGCTTTAATGATAATCAATTATTACATATTTTTACTGAATGACTAGTTGACTTAATCTCCAACCTAACTTAATCAGTTTAATCCATTGTTTTATTGGTCAATTTTCTTTAGTTACGTATTGAGTATGAGTGGGAGTGGAGAATCAGGAAATTAGCTTACTTTTATAAAATATAATAAATTTATTGGAATAGGTTTCAAAAATATTAAAGATTATTGTGCAAGTTATTATAACTTAAACAATTACCTACCTACACAAGTCAAGTATTTTAACAATTTCACTGCTACATTATTTATTCACTGCAACCTGTATAATTTGCTATGTAAAAGAAATATAATTTTTTTTTAAATTTAAATTTTGAGATCAAGGTAGGTGTATGATCCAATTATTTAAGTTTAAAATATTGTGAATCAAG